GCTAAGTTGGCAACACTGCTCTTTGCATGGTTTGTTTTCAAATGGTTTGCTGCTGTCTGTTTGGACCTTTCTGAACATGTGCAGCAAATGGACTGATCCAATATGGTGGACATGGAAGGGGGGGGGGCTGAGACACACTTAATATTATCAGTGTTCTGATGGCATTTTAGCCAAAGGATTTTTATCAGAAACATAATTAATGTGCAGAAATAAGGAATAGTTGTATTAACCATACATGGAGATAGAGTTTTATGGGGCCCCCAGGAACTTAAGGCCCTAGGCAGCTGTCTAGTATTGCCTAATAGTAAATCCCTCCTGTATTAGATATTAAACCAGAGGAAAACATTTCCTGATTTATTTTAATTTATATCACAGACAAAACTGTTTCCTTATAATCCCAGAAAAGGTAAAGTTATGAATTTAAAGTCCATATAATGTTCCGATCGTTAGTGTCTGCTTTCCTCTCACCAAATCCTATAGTAGTTTCAAAGATATCAAAGTGTTCCTTGTTTTTCCCAAAACATAACCAGGATGTTTTAGTAAAACAGATGTATTAGATTAACCTGAAAAGGGGGTATCTCTAATGGTTTGTTGATGTTTTCTACTAGATATGGACAAAAATTCAAACATTTTATTGATCTAGTGTCGGTTTTTACGTGTTTCTGTGAAAATAAAGACATTAATGATCAATGAAAAGTATCTCTTTTTTTTCACATCCCTTAAAATTAACCTTTTTTCTTAATTATTTGAAAAATAATTGTTGATAAAGGCTGCACAGGGTCTTGCAGGAAGAAGGTTCTGGGTTCGATTCCCGGCCCGGGATCTTTCTGCATGGAGTTCTCATGTTCTCCATGAGCATGCGTGGGTTCTCTCTGGGTACTCCGGCTTCCTCCAACACTGACTGATAGGTTAATTGGCTTCTCTAAATTCTCAGTGAATGGTTGTTTGTCCTGTTTGTCTCTGTGTTGCCCGGCGATGGACTGGACACCTGTCCAGGATGGACCCCGCCTCTCACCCCTAGACAGCTGGAGATAGACACCAGAATCCCTCGTGACCCCAGCAGGGATCAGTGTGACGGATGATAGATGGATGGATGGAACTTTTGAAGAAATTAAAGAAAGTAAGAAATAAAAAAAGCAAAACATCTTTTCCTTTGAGACTCGTCCTGAACAGCTCGACTTCTTGGCCTTTCCGAGGTTATTCCTGTGCATCTGGAATAGAAGACAGTTTTTACACTGCAAAAACATTATATAAATAAGTGAAAAATGTCTTAAATTAAGTGTATTTACCCTTAATTTCAGCCATTAAATCAGACGATCTGATTAAGATTAGATAATATGCACTCAAAATAAGACAATGCAATAGTTTTTTCCTATTTTAAATGTAAATTGTCTTGTTCTATTGGCAAAGTGTCTCACTTGCCTCCTCAGTTTAAGAAAAAATGCACTTTTTGCAGTGAAGGGTCTGGAATTTTCAGCCCAAGAATAAACTGCATTTCTGGAGGTTTTTCAATCCTCTTCCTGCCTTCTTGCACTTTTCCCCGATGTATTCCAGCATCCAGCTGCCATGCACGTGGGCATTGTCAGTTTCACTATAGCTCTGGTGAATTTCAATGGTGAAGTCCTCTGGAAATCTTCAATAATTGTTGTTGATTGCAGATGTGTCTAGTAGTTCCCATTGA